AATGCGTGTCAATCATAAAAGTTTGTGATGGCCCGGCTTCTACTGCTTCTGTAAACTAAGTTAAGGGTTTTGCTTATTGGAGACGACTGGCTCAAATAAAAGACTCTGGCCAAACCTTCAAAAATATACCTTATTACATGTAAATTTTACATGTAAAAGGATCAAAATTTGTTGTGATGCACAAATTTGAATATCAAAGAGAAAAATCAATACAAATCAGTCTTTTAGTAAAAATGAGTAAATTATGTATTATGGAAGACAAATAATGCCAGTCACCATGCCTATTTTAGAGGCAACATGAGCTTTGTTTGTTTCATGAAGCATGAAAGAATAGACTAGAGCACATAAGATGGTAGACCCGACTATATCTCCATTGCATGACCTATGCATGAAATAGGCTACTGCAGCTTCTAGCATAGGCAGCCCAGGCATAATGAGGGATACAGGTTCAGATTTGATAATCCTGAATAGAGCGGTGATGTGATGTGTTCTGACTGTTTAAGGAGGCTGGCAACAGTTTCCAGCACTTTTCTAACAACTATACTTTAAAGGATGAATACTACCACTGTTTAAACAAGTGATTCCAAAATAACGGTATCATACAAATTCCAATCATTAGTAAAAAAGTTGTGGTTATCCTTTCAATATAACAGATTACCATGGCAACAATATGACCTGCTAAAAACACCCTTAATTTTAGCTTTCAGTGCTTATAACTCAAAAACCAGCTCTATCGACTGTGGTCCAGTGGACGACATGACAGAATCATTTGAAAATGTTTTAATGTCACCTGGAGGAGGAATGAAATGAATGCTGTGTCATCTGGAAGCTAAGGTAAGCCTCCTTGCTGTATATAAAGAGCACTTTTGAGTACTAGTAATTTTAGTCTTTCGTTCGGAAACTGCTCGATTCCGAAAATAGTCATATGACTAAGCACATGGAGAGCTGTCGTTCACCATTTTGTGCCATTGTTGGGTGTTGTCTTTGCAGAGTTGACTTCTGTCTGTTAGTGATTTATATTACTGATCGGTGCTATGGATGTACTGGAAATGCTGATAACAAGTCTCTCACATATTCTTGGACAAAAGCATTACCGCAAAACTTGACTGGCTGGGACCAGGAGACGTGCAGCTTTGTGTAGCTTCGAAGGAGATTAAGTTGAGTTCTCCTCTCGCTGGGACTTAATGCCACAATTTTGGAAAGCACGATTGAGATAGAACTGTCAAATACTTATCAAACAAATGCTAACAAATGTCAAATAATCTGTACCAAATAACAAATGCCAAATATCGAATGCTGAGCGACTGCAAAAGGAACAAAAACAGCTCTGCACTGCATATTCTTAATTTGAATGAAAACAAAATAAAGGTTAGTGAGAAAATTAAAAGTGAAATGAGCAGACTAAGAACACAACACAAGAAAGCCTTGTGCCTTAAGCAGTGTTACAGACTGACAATTCACCCCAAACAAAATCAATCTTACTTCAGAATGTTAGATCTCTCCACCTCCACATAGATGATGTGCAAAGTGATTACAATATTCAAAAAGCTGATGTCAATATTTTGTTGAATCAAAACTTTGCTTGTCAGATAGAGATGATGCATATCAGCTTTGTGAATTTACGCTTTACAGAAATGACTTTAGTCAGCCTAACATAAGAACTTGCTATGGAACTACTGTGTACATTAATAATGATTTGAATTGAACTAAAACTCCACACAGGTGTAACTTTAATAATTTGGAAATTACTGTTATGGTTTTAATTAGCCAACCAATTCCAAATATTCATGTCATTGGTATTTATCATTTGAAAACTAAAGTTACAATTTCACAGTGAATTGATGCTTTTACTCATCTTCAGAACTAAGTATTAATAGAACCTACAATTCCAACTGTACTGCTTGGGGATTTTAATATTGATCTAGTGCAGGCAAATTCAGACCAAAAGGCTCTAACAAAATATCTTATACCCTTTCAGCTGATTAACCAGTATACTACTGACTATTGTACACAGATAGATCATGTACCACAATGTGTACAATCAACAAGTATCCTTGAGTCCTACTACAGTGATCATAAGCCTATTTATATAAATTTCCATGAAAGCTGTTTGAATATTTGTTAAAAAAATTCACTGTGTATCAGATGAGATCATTACTATTAATTTAGCTGAATATGAAACTTTACTTACCAAATAAAAATCTACATGTATTAAGCAACCATTTGAATCACATATAGAAAACAGTCAGAACATTTATTGGCAGAAACAAACAATGGTTTGAATTTCCTGTGCTTTTCATGTTCCTAAATTCCTAGTCGTCATAGAGATTCAAAAACTACATGTAACTCTACCAAAATTTGCAGATGCTATACATAAGAGTAAAGTTTTCAGGTTAAAGGAATTATTTTAGCTCCAATGTTTCTTAAAGCAAAGCATGCCATTTGTAACTGACATTTTCTTTCTTAAACCCTTTCCAGAAAAGCAAGAAATATCACTTGGACACCACATTTAGGTAAGTAGAGCTGTAGCTTATTTTTATTGGGGTTGGTTGAGGGGAAGGGGGGGGAGGAGGGCAGCAAATTAAAGATATACATGTATAACGTTTCTGCATTCATTTTATACCCTTTTAAAACACTTCCTTACTTCATGTAGGTTTAGAGTCGAGAATGTCAACAAGTGAAATCCACCTGAACTCATTTCATTCAATTTTTAAAATGGTTGTTATCATGCTGTACTTCTACTACATGTGTGTCCTGCTGCTGTAAAGACTATGTTATTTATTACTCAATAAGAATGTATAATCTGCATGTATAGGAGACTGTTGGCTACAATGTCCCCTCTTAGTTTTTACGTGCTACATTATGGTCGTCAGTATTTCACTAGACTTAAGAAAGAAACAGTTCCTATTAAAAGTAGTGTTCATCTTGATTTTTGTTGTTGTGCTCTGTTGAAATCTATTTCAAGTATGTAATAAACAACTATAATAAAATGATTTTACCAAAGAAAAAATTCAGCCAAGGGTTTCAATAAGCAACCATATTTGGACATCAGAACCTATGCATCACATTTCACCAAAAGATGTTTATCTTCCTGTTTTTCACTGCAGTACCAAGAAGAACTCTACAATGATCAATTTCTATTCTGGTTTTATTCAACTACCTTTTCTACATTCATCCAAAAGGCAATTTCCAAGTTGCCTTTTGCCTCTGTGTAAAAAAAAGTCTAAGTGCGAAACCATCCATATGACTTCCACCTACAGATTCAAACTCAGTTTCCACAAAGACTCGTTTTGATACTGAGGCACAAAAAAACTTTCATACATGATCTGGCTCACAGGAGCCTTTGATTTATTACTGAATTGTAATAAGCATGATAAGGTGCAACTTTTTGCAAAGTTTAAAAAAATTCTGCAGAATAGGTTCCTAATCATGTCGGGCAGGGTCAGTACTTGGATGCCCATATCAGTTATTTCTCTCTGCTTCTCTCTCCTTCTTTGGCTTAGCTCATTCATTGCCTCACATGACAAAGGAGAATTGACAAAGCAAGAAAAAGCGAAACAAACATGGTGAATGATTTTTTGTTTATTTTGTTTCCATTTTTCCATTCAATATGAAAAAGACTACAGAAATGGGGTATTAAATTTATGAGTTTGAATTTTGACAAAGACTACAGACTAGTGAGACAATCTCAGATAGTGCAGAGTGTAATTTACGGCTCTGATAAAGTAGTCACACAGGTCCTCACCCCTGCTGTTCTCTCCCTTGGTAGTCAACTAGGCCTTTTCCCCTTTGCAGAATATGAGCAGACAAAAATTTGATAAGACTTAATCTTAGCAGTGTGTATGTTTCATGTTTGTGTTTTGCCCAAAAATAACTTACAATTACCGTTTGTCAGAACGGTTCAAATTCATTGTGGTATTTTATCTTGAGTTTTGTTTATTTTGTAGCATTACTTTTCACGCCGTTTGTAATTTGATACTTTTGCTTTCCTCGCCAATGTATGCAACAAGATACCTTTGTTTCCACAAAATATAAGAAAGATGTGTATTTTTTAACTCACTGCTGGAGATAAATGGAATATAAAGTTACATTTCTGTTGAGAAGTCGAAGAGGAATGATTTTGTATTATTCAAAATGTAAATTTTCGTTTCACCGATAAACAAGAACTAATCTTATTATCAAATAGTCATGTCAAATCATGGAATAGTGTGTTCTAATTCTGTTGGAAGCCGAGTTGGTGTAAACAATAAAACCACATCAACTAATACACAATGCTATCGAGTAATACAACTGAGGAACGTTTCAACAAAAAGTATTGAAGGTAGAGATCTTTACTTGACCGAAGTTATATCCCACATCGGTGAGTGAGTCACCTCATCGACTGATAAAATTAATTGGAGGTTTCAGGGTCTGCGGTAATATTAATGAAGTTTCTTTTGTCACAAATTTACTAGTTTTACATGTAACTAACGTGGGAAAGTTTCGGCTGAATATGAACTTTGGGCTCTCCTTCATAGAAGAGGAAACAAACATGCTGCTAAGGAGAGGCATTATGTTCGAATTCTCTATTTCAACCCTAGCAAACACACAATAGTTATAAAACAGCAGACGACATTTCTTGAATCAAGCTAGGGAAGACTCCAGAAGATACGCAGTCACAGTAGCATTCCCTTGCACTAAAAAAAGGAGAACTGACGTTACCTGAAATATAACAGCTATCCCCAGCCAAAACGAGAGTGTGATATCACTCATTACAAAAAATAAAAAAAGCGTGCTTCTGAACTTGAGAACGGAGTTTATCACACTAGCAATGCTTGAATGCATGCGTCTTACATGTTATGCTCTACCACAAGGGAAAGCACTCAGCATTCGTGGGTAGTCCCGTATAAAGTGTATCTTTCACCTAACATATAGTCGACTTTGACGCTAACTAATCTGTGCATGCGTTTGGAGCAAATTGCTTTTGTTCTTAAGAGAATGGTACNCATTTTCTAAATCTCTCCTGTTATGTACAAAATAATAATACTTAAAACCAATTAACACCTACTGATGACATGATCAGCTAAGTAACTTATTGAGAAACTGGTGTTCATGACAGAAACATGAACCTATTGTTAGATGGTTTTCATAACAAGACAACCAAATAGAATCTTTCAATTACCTAATTCCGTGACTCGCTTCATGTTTCGGCTGTTCTTCAGGTACTCTCCCAGAGATGGGCCCCTTTTTATAAAAGGAACAAATTAAACACAAATTAAGTTGTAAAACACTTTTACAACAGATCATTCAATTGGACAACAGTTACTTGGCATAAGACAGGGTTTTTCATTTACATGTTCTACATGTGTACAATCATGTAGCATATGAAACGAAGGTAAAATATTCATAGAAGGTGCTTCAAGTGATGTTTTCAACCTATTATGTCCGGTTAGGAAAAAAGATATGTTGAAAGATAAAAGATATGTATTTCTTTCTAGTTCCATTCTGTGATTGACTGTAAATTCTAAGTAAATGTTGATGAAATGGCCAGAAATCAGTAAGTCGGATATTGATATACAAATACTCAGTACATGTACTGATACCATATTTAATTGTATCTTTGCAACAGTTGACTGAACTCCCTGAAATTGAGAATTTGGAATGGCTGCAATGCGTGTCAATCATAAAAGTTTGTGATGGCCCGGCTTCTACTGCTTCTGTAAACTAAGTTAAGGGTTTTGCTTATTGGAGACGACTGGCTCAAATAAAAGACTCTGGCCAAACCTTCAAAAATATACCTTATTACATGTAAATTTTACATGTAAAAGGATCAAAATTTGTTGTGATGCACAAATTTGAATATCAAAGAGAAAAATCAATACAAATCAGTCTTTTAGTAAAAATGAGTAAATTATGTATTATGGAAGACAAATAATGCCAGTCACCATGCCTATTTTAGAGGCAACATGAGCTTTGTTTGTTTCATGAAGCATGAAAGAATAGACTAGAGCACATAAGATGGTAGACCCGACTATATCTCCATTGCATGACCTATGCATGAAATAGGCTACTGCAGCTTCTAGCATAGGCAGCCCAGGCATAATGAGGGATACAGGTTCAGATTTGATAATCCTGAATAGAGCGGTGATGTGATGTGTTCTGACTGTTTAAGGAGGCTGGCAACAGTTTCCAGCACTTTTCTAACAACTATACTTTAAAGGATGAATACTACCACTGTTTAAACAAGTGATTCCAAAATAACGGTATCATACAAATTCCAATCATTAGTAAAAAAGTTGTGGTTATCCTTTCAATATAACAGATTACCATGGCAACAATATGACCTGCTAAAAACACCCTTAATTTTAGCTTTCAGTGCTTATAACTCAAAAACCAGCTCTATCGACTGTGGTCCAGTGGACGACATGACAGAATCATTTGAAAATGTTTTAATGTCACCTGGAGGAGGAATGAAATGAATGCTGTGTCATCTGGAAGCTAAGGTAAGCCTCCTTGCTGTATATAAAGAGCACTTTTGAGTACTAGTAATTTTAGTCTTTCGTTCGGAAACTGCTCGATTCCGAAAATAGTCATATGACTAAGCACATGGAGAGCTGTCGTTCACCATTTTGTGCCATTGTTGGGTGTTGTCTTTGCAGAGTTGACTTCTGTCTGTTAGTGATTTATATTACTGATCGGTGCTATGGATGTACTGGAAATGCTGATAACAAGTCTCTCACATATTCTTGGACAAAAGCATTACCGCAAAACTTGACTGGCTGGGACCAGGAGACGTGCAGCTTTGTGTAGCTTCGAAGGAGATTAAGTTGAGTTCTCCTCTCGCTGGGACTTAATGCCACAATTTTGGAAAGCACGATTGAGATAGAACTGTCAAATACTTATCAAACAAATGCTAACAAATGTCAAATAATCTGTACCAAATAACAAATGCCAAATATCGAATGCTGAGCGACTGCAAAAGGAACAAAAACAGCTCTGCACTGCATATTCTTAATTTGAATGAAAACAAAATAAAGGTTAGTGAGAAAATTAAAAGTGAAATGAGCAGACTAAGAACACAAGAAAGCCTTGTGCCTTAAGCAGTGTTACAGACTGACAATTCACCCCAAACAAAATCAATCTTACTTCAGAATGTTAGATCTCTCCACCTCCACATAGATGATGTGCAAAGTGATTACAATATTCAAAAAGCTGATGTCAATATTTTGTTGAATCAAAACTTTGCTTGTCAGATAGAGATGATGCATATCAGCTTTGTGAATTTACGCTTTACAGAAATGACTTTAGTCAGCCTAACATAAGAACTTGCTATGGAACTACTGTGTACATTAATAATGATTTGAATTGAACTAAAACTCCACACAGGTGTAACTTTAATAATTTGGAAATTACTGTTATGGTTTTAATTAGCCAACCAATTCCAAATATTCATGTCATTGGTATTTATCATTTGAAAACTAAAGTTACAATTTCACAGTGAATTGATGCTTTTACTCATCTTCAGAACTAAGTATTAATAGAACCTACAATTCCAACTGTACTGCTTGGGGATTTTAATATTGATCTAGTGCAGGCAAATTCAGACCAAAAGGCTCTAACAAAATATCTTATACCCTTTCAGCTGATTAACCAGTATACTACTGACTATTGTACACAGATAGATCATGTACCACAATGTGTACAATCAACAAGTATCCTTGAGTCCTACTACAGTGATCATAAGCCTATTTATATAAATTTCCATGAAAGCTGTTTGAATATTTGTTAAAAAAATTCACTGTGTATCAGATGAGATCATTACTATTAATTTAGCTGAATATGAAACTTTACTTACCAAATAAAAATCTACATGTATTAAGCAACCATTTGAATCACATATAGAAAACAGTCAGAACATTTATTGGCAGAAACAAACAATGGTTTGAATTTCCTGTGCTTTTCATGTTCCTAAATTCCTAGTCGTCATAGAGATTCAAAAACTACATGTAACTCTACCAAAATTTGCAGATGCTATACATAAGAGTAAAGTTTTCAGGTTAAAGGAATTATTTTAGCTCCAATGTTTCTTAAAGCAAAGCATGCCATTTGTAACTGACATTTTCTTTCTTAAACCCTTTCCAGAAAAGCAAGAAATATCACTTGGACACCACATTTAGGTAAGTAGAGCTGTAGCTTATTTTTATTGGGGTTGGTTGAGGGGAAGGGGGGGGGGGAGGGCAGCAAATTAAAGATATACATGTATAACGTTTCTGCATTCATTTTATACCCTTTTAAAACACTTCCTTACTTCATGTAGGTTTAGAGTCGAGAATGTCAACAAGTGAAATCCACCTGAACTCATTTCATTCAATTTTTAAAATGGTTGTTATCATGCTGTACTTCTACTACATGTGTGTCCTGCTGCTGTAAAGACTATGTTATTTATTACTCAATAAGAATGTATAATCTGCATGTATAGGAGACTGTTGGCTACAATGTCCCCTCTTAGTTTTTACGTGCTACATTATGGTCGTCAGTATTTCACTAGACTTAAGAAAGAAACAGTTCCTATTAAAAGTAGTGTTCATCTTGATTTTTGTTGTTGTGCTCTGTTGAAATCTATTTCAAGTATGTAATAAACAACTATAATAAAATGATTTTACCAAAGAAAAAATTCAGCCAAGGGTTTCAATAAGCAACCATATTTGGACATCAGAACCTATGCATCACATTTCACCAAAAGATGTTTATCTTCCTGTTTTTCACTGCAGTACCAAGAAGAACTCTACAATGATCAATTTCTATTCTGGTTTTATTCAACTACCTTTTCTACATTCATCCAAAAGGCAATTTCCAAGTTGCCTTTTGCCTCTGTGTAAAAAAAAGTCTAAGTGCGAAACCATCCATATGACTTCCACCTACAGATTCAAACTCAGTTTCCACAAAGACTCGTTTTGATACTGAGGCACAAAAAAACTTTCATACATGATCTGGCTCACAGGAGCCTTTGATTTATTACTGAATTGTAATAAGCATGATAAGGTGCAACTTTTTGCAAAGTTTAAAAAAATTCTGCAGAATAGGTTCCTAATCATGTCGGGCAGGGTCAGTACTTGGATGCCCATATCAGTTATTTCTCTCTGCTTCTCTCTCCTTCTTTGGCTTAGCTCATTCATTGCCTCACATGACAAAGGAGAATTGACAAAGCAAGAAAAAGCGAAACAAACATGGTGAATGATTTTTTGTTTATTTTGTTTCCATTTTTCCATTCAATATGAAAAAGACTACAGAAATGGGGTATTAAATTTATGAGTTTGAATTTTGACAAAGACTACAGACTAGTGAGACAATCTCAGATAGTGCAGAGTGTAATTTACGGCTCTGATAAAGTAGTCACACAGGTCCTCACCCCTGCTGTTCTCTCCCTTGGTAGTCAACTAGGCCTTTTCCCCTTTGCAGAATATGAGCAGACAAAAATTTGATAAGACTTAATCTTAGCAGTGTGTATGTTTCATGTTTGTGTTTTGCCCAAAAATAACTTACAATTACCGTTTGTCAGAACGGTTCAAATTCATTGTGGTATTTTATCTTGAGTTTTGTTTATTTTGTAGCATTACTTTTCACGCCGTTTGTAATTTGATACTTTTGCTTTCCTCGCCAATGTATGCAACAAGATACCTTTGTTTCCACAAAATATAAGAAAGATGTGTATTTTTTAACTCACTGCTGGAGATAAATGGAATATAAAGTTACATTTCTGTTGAGAAGTCGAAGAGGAATGATTTTGTATTATTCAAAATGTAAATTTTCGTTTCACCGATAAACAAGAACTAATCTTATTATCAAATAGTCATGTCAAATCATGGAATAGTGTGTTCTAATTCTGTTGGAAGCCGAGTTGGTGTAAACAATAAAACCACATCAACTAATACACAATGCTATCGAGTAATACAACTGAGGAACGTTTCAACAAAAAGTATTGAAGGTAGAGATCTTTACTTGACCGAAGTTATATCCCACATCGGTGAGTGAGTCACCTCATCGACTGATAAAATTAATTGGAGGTTTCAGGGTCTGCGGTAATATTAATGAAGTTTCTTTTGTCACAAATTTACTAGTTTTACATGTAACTAACGTGGGAAAGTTTCGGCTGAATATGAACTTTGGGCTCTCCTTCATAGAAGAGGAAACAAACATGCTGCTAAGGAGAGGCATTATGTTCGAATTCTCTATTTCAACCCTAG